GAGGCTGAAAACTGTTTGCAATTGGGGTTATTATTATAACCACCCATCGACCGAAAGCAAGAGAATAATATTTCTAGATGATCCTGGGACAATTTATAAGTTAATAAATATTGCAAATAACCGGGTTCTATATAATCTGTAAATATTTTTTTTTAATTTTGTAAATCTATGATGAAACCATTAAATTCTGTCTTTACTTTAGTGTTTATCAGTAATCGTCCATTGGGAGTCAGTTTCAATTTTGACAAATAGTCTACGGTTTTGTCAATAAATTTAAANAACACTTCTGCCGTGTAAATATTAAGTGGTTTTTTAAATCCATAGGCAAATAGGNTTCTTGAGTTGAGAAGATCAAATGTTTGATTAATGATTCTACAAAACTTGACTGTTGCATCGCAACCCAGAAAGTCGGGATTACCATCTTCAGAAAGCTGCTCGAACGCTGTAGCACAACTTTCGCTGAATGTTTGAGCAGCTAACTTTACATTCATCTTGTTTTTAAACCACATTATGTGTTTCTTATTGAGCTTATTAGCTAAATGAAAATCTCCCGATTCTTGAAATTTGGCGAGATTTTCAAAGTATTTAAATTTTATCGGATTTTCAATATCATCGTACAATACTTCTTTTGATGCTAATGTGTTACGGACCATTTAAGCATGTGAGCAGCATCATAAAATATATAAATATTATAATTCTCTACTGGATGCAAAAAAAACGGCCTTTCATTGCACATATTCGGATTTAATATCTTACACATAGAAATATTAGCAGAAAATCCGTCAAAAGTAAACGCGATAATTTTTACATTTGACTCAGACACAAACTCTAGGACCTTTGTCGTTATTGCTGCTCGTTCTTCTGCTGTCAACGAATTTATAAAAAAGTATGCTATGGGTATTTTCCACCTTTGGTTTACTCCGGNAAGCATATATACTAAAGCATATTTTGCTACTGGTAGTTCCTGTGGTTCATCAATAACACACCCAAAATCAACATACCCTGTCTGTATTTTAGTTGATTTATCAAACTCGACTTGCTGACGGAGGGACATTTCGTCCATCATTAAACAAGCAAAAAGAATTTGATTTTTTTCAGCAGCAAGATTAGCTTTTCTTTTTAAAATATCCACGGCATCTTTTGACAAACCAGGGGAACCATCGGTACTACTATACCAAGCTCTTATCGTTGACGGTGCTGGTAATTTATTTTTAAATACGTCTCTTATATAATTGTATGCCTTTGGGCTATANAATTGCACTGTTAATGCAAAAGTTCTAACTTGAGGTGAATATGTACCATTAACTTTTCCTTTCATTAGTTCGTCAACGATAGTCGCTTCGTCAGTAACAGCCTAGAAAAAGAGTAGAAAAAACAAATTAAGTTTTTCCATGTCATACAGTCATTGTTATGTCATTTATAGAACTTTNCCATATCATTTTTTATTTCAATATATAAGTAATTGATTTCATTATATATAATTTGATATATTTTGTACATATAATAACAATTTATGATCAGCTCATACGTTATAACATGATGTGAAAATTCGGACCAGTGAAGTAAACTAGATGAAAACTAACTTTATTGATAACTGAAATTTTGGCAGTGCAGTGTTTAGTGATTATGGCATATAGACTAGTCTAACAGGTCCACAGAGTCACACGTGCACCAAGCCAAGTTCAGTGGTTTCATCTCAGTTCTGCTTCAACGCACTAAAATTAATCGCATGTAATCAGTGTTAATTAAAGATATGCTATACTGGTACTATGTTAGGGCAGCGTCAGCACAGTATCAGTGNGTGGCAATCGAGTTTGCTGAATATTTTTACTTAATTTAAATTAATATCTGTTCAGTGAAACATAGAAATAATACCAATTATATAAACTATTATTTCAATGTTTCACTGAATAGAAATTAATTTAGATTACGTGAAAATACAGTTATATCTTGCTTGGCCGCAACACCGACTTACTCCACTGTCATTCTAACTCCGTCATATAATGTATCTCGAGTGTTTTACCTGTATTCATTCATGCTGGATTAATACAGAAATAGTTATACCTGAATGATGTTCGAAGCATTCGAAGAAAGACCACATTGCTGTCGGAGTTCGGTTAACAATTCTTCCAAATTGATTATTTTCTTCTTATCTCGTATTTGCTTAGCATATAGTCGCTTAATTGCATGATCTTTTTTCAAACAAGCTCGTTTTAAGAGCTTGATACAAGTACTTTTTGTTGAGAGGGACAATTGGTCTATAATATCATCTTTGATGTCACCAGGATAACGTAACTTATNTTTTACAGACATTGCTTTAAACACAGTAGTTTCTTCATCTGTTTCCATAACACTGTAAATTCATATAATTAAATATAATAAAATCTACATACATTTAGCTTCTATTATATTTGACTAGTGTTGATATACAATAAATTAATATATTACTTAAATAAAGTTTTACCTTATACGCGAAGAATCATTGTCAATATCAGGCATTGTCAAAGCAGTTTCAGTTTCCACAACACTGTAAATTTATAAAATTAAATATAATTAAGTCTACATACATTTAACTTCTATTATGTTTGATTTGTATTGATAAAAATTAATATATTACTTAAATAAAGTTTTACCTTATACGCGAAGAATCATTGTCAATATCAGACATTGTCAAGGCAGTTTCAGTTTCCACAACACTGTAAATTTATAAAATTAAGTATAATTAAGTCTACATGTAAAAGTTCATTGTTGTNTTTTGATTATGTTCTTATAGTGTTACCTTTTTCTTCTATTCCGAGGAAATATGCTAGGTACAGCATTTCGCTTTAGTCGAAGTTTAGAATACCCAAATTGTTCTAACAAATTTTTGTTAAAATGTAATTCACAAATACGGCTACTTTTGGGAACATTTCTTNCACTTTCTTGTAGGTTTAAAGTGACAATTGCATCAATCCACTGCTCCTTGAGTACAGAATTGCTTGGGAATCTGAAAATTTAGAATACACAAATACGTATGAGATTAATATAAATGATTAAATCAGTTTAAAATAGTAAAGAATTGAGCTACAAAAATCAGTACATACGCAAAAAAATTCAAGCTGGTATCATTTTCCTCGTGTTGTCGTTTGTATTTTGTGCTTCTGCAGCCTTCTATAAAACAATAACGGACCATATTGCCAGTCTTCGATTTACTATTATTACTAGTATGTACTTGTTTAGACTAGAGACTACGATGAGATAATATTGAAAGTGGTGTAAAAAAACCTAATATTGTCCAAAAATATTCACAGTAGAACTACGCAGTACGCACATCCAACCAACATGGCTGATGCAACGCGACTTATATATACAGGGTGTCCCAGAATTAGTGTAACATCTCTCGTGAGCAAATAGAAGGAGTAAAACTGAGTCAAAATGTCCTATACCATTTTGCTAGATTTGCAATAGTTACCGAGATCTTAATTAACAAAGATCAGCGAATAAGCATGCATCGGGCTGTCTTACGCGCGTAAGACAGCCCAGTGCGCTTCGCGCGCTAACGGTGTTACCCATA